AGATAGAGAAGGAGGATTCCAAGGAAAGCTTCGCAAAGATGAACGAAAAGAAAGATGGAGAACGACATTGGGGGTTAGGTGGTTCGGACTAATCCCGAAATAACCAAGAAACTGATGAAGGAAAGCGAAGCGAGAGGCAAAGTCCGTAGCGGACAAAGGAAACGAAGAGGACAATCTCACCAGGACCCGGAGCTGGAACCCGATGCTCGCCCGGAACTCTCCATTCAGCGATGACTTTGCTTTGGATCAAGCCATCGCTAACGAGCTCGCGCAGCTGGTATTCGCTTGTTGTTGGAGCCGGCCAAACCTTCTGAGCAGCCCTCATAGCCACGAACTCCTGGTTTTCGATCAAAGAAAGGGATGACTCCTCATCTACGAAGGTCGCCTGAGACTTGCTTGCGGTTTTCTTCTTTCCCATGAACTAGCGGAAGCAAAAAAGGCACTAAGGAAGATGAAGCTAGGATGATGGTGCTCGGGTGACGACGACGATGACGGCGGCGGATTTTTGAAAGCTAGGGTTTAAAGGCAAGAGCTGGGCAGCAAGGGTCTTTAAATAGATTTCTTAGTGATACAAAACGGCCCACAAGGCCCGATAAAACACAGTGTGGGAACACGACGGTCCATTTACCGACGCAGCTAAAACGACGGAGGGCACAAATCCACACAACAGTACAAACCAACGGGCAGATTTTAGACTTATCCGTCCAGCACCACGGCAGGGTTATCAGATCGCTACAAGAACAACTCGTCAAAACAAGAAGAAAGAAAGAAGAAAGAAAGGGCTACCTCACAAGGAACAAAAGAACCCGGTTATTTAAGAAAGAACTCAGTAACCTCATGAACAACAGGGATCACAATAGAAAAGTAAAAGACAACTCAGAAGACAAGATTTGTTACATTACAAGCGACTTCAAAAATAGAAGATTACAAATCTTAAAGACAAGATTCGTTACATTACAAGCGACTTCAAAAATAGAAGATTACAAATCTTACAAGACCCAACGAACTCGACACCATGAAAAGCAAGGTAGCAAAGAGGAACGCGGACACGGCTAGGCTCTGGAACAACTACGTGTCCCAAATTGCTACTCGGAAGGACAAACCGCCATCAGCTACACTGTTTTCTTCAAAGGACGGACGCAGTGCACCCAAGGCGGAAATCGGCAGCATGGCAAGACAACATGGAGCAGAGAAGGCCGGCGGGCATCTGTCTACCCAAGACCGATGTGATGCTGCATATGGTGTTGATCTGCACCGGACAGTCTCAAGACAGGCGACGAGGATCAACCCAGAACTGCCAGATGAAGAAACGAAGCCCACATCACAAGACTTCCTCCAACTACCACCACGTACATCCTGGCACAATGCTGTCGCGGGATTAGCCTACCTCTAATCTCTATCACAAGACTTCCTCCAGCTACGACAAGACACACAGGAACTACAAAATATGCCCGGGGGATGCTCTACTTCACAAACTACCATGTTCATGACCACGAAGGTTTCAACGGAATATCCAATAGATGAAAACAAGCACTCCGGGACAGTATTTATAGACCAAAGAAGTGGCGCACATGGACTAGGAGTACCAACAAAATAAGCCTAACAAAGGACACAGTGAAAGGACAGGACTCAATAATGGATGACTCAGGCGAGAGGAAACAGTACTCGAAGACGGGCATATTCGGAAGAATATACCAGCATAGTACAACCCGTGAACAAAAGACATTTACACTCAACCACCACCATACAACTACATCTGACAGCAGCAGACTATCAAAGAATACGCCAAGACCTCGCATCTGAGTTCTTCCTGAACAAAACAACACAGATATACGCTCGGGGGCTCGGCCAGCATCATAGCTTAATCAACACTAAGCTAGGGAGTTCGACATTCATTTCAACTACTCCCGGGGGCTCGGAACCAAAGACAAAAGACCAAGAGTACAAGAAACTCAAGACTACAACGACGACGACACATCAAGACTCTTCATCCGACTTCTTTTCTAAAGAGAAGAACTCGGAGAAAGCACGAGGCTGCGGGATACATAGCCCCAGAATTTTTTGAAGACAAGAATCTAGACCCTCCAACTTTTGCAAGGAAAAGCAAGAGGCTCGGGGGCTACACTCAGTGAGTGCAATTTTTATGAAAAATTGCACCCACCCAAAAAGAACCCGGACATAGGCTCGGAGGCTGCATGCCGCGAAACTACTCGAATGATGGTTTAATCCAAGACTAAAGGGCCGCTTCGGAAAAATGCCACAAAAACTACTCGGATGATGACATAATTCAAGTCTCGGGGACTACATCAGAACACAAATTTTCAAACAACATAAAGGATCAAGACCCTCCAACTTTTTGTTCCAAATAGCAAGAGGCTTGGGGGCTACACTCAGTGAGTGCACTTTTTCTTCGAAAAAGCGCACGTCATCAAAAGACTTCCTCAACGCAGACCACTTCAAGACATTGCGACAAAAAGAACCCGGAACGAGCCATATTCGAGTTCTTTTTGACAAAACTTCAACGAACAATCAGAGCAACTTCAAGACAAGATCCTCCAGCTCCTTGTTCCAAATAGCAAGAGGCTCAGGGGCTACAACCAGATGGATGTACTTTTTCTTCACAAAACACTCACCACTCGAAGGTCCCAAGAAGCGCTACAAGGTTTCACTCCAGAAAGCACTCGGATAACATTTTGTTCCTACCTAACAAGACTTGAAGGAGCAAAGCGAGACTTTCAGAGCTCAACCATGAAGTGCTCGGGGGCTTGTCGATGACGGGACCCACAGGAACCCCGCAAGGGGAGAGAGAAGATCTAGTTCAACTAGATTCTTCCCATGTAATCTTAGTAATAGAACTATTAAGTAATCCTACTAGGAAATCTCATTGTAAACCGACTAGGACTCGGCCTCCCTACTATATAAAGGAGGCGGGGCTCTGAAAGAGGACGACAATTGTACAACATAACACTTCATAATCAATCCAACGCAAAGACCAACGCCGATTTGGGCGTCGAGGTCGTTACTCGATCTCGATCGAGGGCTGGCCCGAACCAGATAAATTGATCGTCTCTTGCGTTACCATCGAGTTCAAGATACGCCAAGCCCGAACAATATCGCCGGGCACCCCGTGCAGCGAGCTATCGATGGTGAAACATCGACAAAGCGGTCGGTGATAGAGCCGCCTTTACAAAGGACGTGTTCGAGATCCACGAAACCAACCGCCTCTACAAATGGAATAAGAGGGGCAACAGTGATCTGAGCCGCCCCTACAAATGGGTAGGATTTGTAGGCGGCTCACTCACTGACCGCCTCGATAAAGAAAGATTTGTAGGGGCGGGCGGTGATTGAGCCGCCCCTACAAATAGAACAGTAGGGGCGGCTGGTGATTGAGCCGCCCCTACAAATAGAACAGTAGGGGCGGCTGCTAATACGAGCCACCCCTACAAATGCATGGCTGCTGGACGAGCACGGACCTGAAAAAATTATCAAATCCAGTGAACCGAAGAGGTCAGGTCCGTACTTTATCCGAGCCCCGTCCTCTCTCCTCTCTCCTGCCCCGTCCTCTCTCCTCTTCCTCTCCCTCCCCGCCGTCGTCGCCACCTCTCTTCCTCTCCTCTCCCTCCGCCATCATCGCCTCTACCTCTCCCTCCGCTACGGTTCCATCTTCATTCCATTCCCCCACCCCACCGGTGACCGGTCCACCCCCGCCGGAGAGTTGTTGCTAACACCGCATAGATCTACGTGCAACTGGCCCCGTCCGATCCCCAGTAGCCCAGTGGACTCTGCCTCCCCCAGATGGACTGCGTGGTGCGGCACCCCTGTTCCCGGTGACCACACCAGGCCACCACCCAACTGCAGCGAGCCGAGCGGGAGGAGGGACCGGCGCACTCAGGCCGGAGATGAGGGGCGGATCCAGACCGGCCCCGGTCGCCCTGTTTCTCCTCGCTGCCTCCATGATCTGCGCCCAGTTCACCACAGGTTCGCGCTCTCGATCTGCTTGTTGGCCGTGGGATTCGGGGCTGTTGCGGGAGAGGGTTACAGCGAGATCTAGTTCAAGGAGGGGTGGGGGATTGGGGAATCGCTACCACGATTATTTGCCTTGAATATATTCCGATTCCCTGCTGTATTTTGTGAGTCTAATTGAATTGTAGACGGCACATTCGTTGACAAATATTGGGTGGTTGGGGAGGGATAAATTTGCTGTCTCCGGTGGGAGTTTGTGAAGTTATGTATGACGAGTTTATAATCTTCAAGTTCAGGAGATTGGAGGCTTAGTCGTGGCCTGATCCCAAGGGATCCCGGTTTCAGCTTCTGTACCCGCTAATATCCTTTGCATCTTACATATATCCTTTGCCAACATTTAAATTTTGTATTGCTTTATTTATTTTAAAGCTATCACAAGTTATGTAGATGTATGTTGTGTGCAGTTACAGGTAAATTTTCTCACTGATTTTGGACCATGAAAACTGCTAAATCAGTCCCTCAAATGAGTATAAAGATGTTGTTTATAGTATTTAGCACCCTGGATGCACACCTAGAACATGCAGTTAGTTTGATATTTTTTTAATAAGCCTAGCATGTTGTTTAATTTGGGGATAAAATTCTGTTTATGGATCTAGATTTATTTGGTGGCTGATTAGGAAGGCTACTTTCATAGATCACTATTGTGAAATTGCAGGTTAGTGAACTCTTGGCGTGGAGGAGGATAAAGTATCTCCATCTTACATCACAGAGTGAGTTTTTTAAATGACGAACCTGTTAGCTTTTGTACATTCTGGTATTTTTTCACTGAAATTGCAGTAGTCATCCGTTCATTAAGCTTAATATAAGAAGACAAAACGAGTTTTCTGCTTGTGTAATAGGTAAGAAAGGTTTGCTGGTGTATTGAACCTTCCAGTGGCATAGCTGTGAAAGGTTTGCTGGAGCATCTCTTCTATCTTGTTGACTAATCATGTATACTTGCCAATTCCTAATTTAGATTGACAGTACGAGATATGATATTATACCTCATTATATGGTTTGCAAGTCTCCATCTTGCCCCAGAGCACTGCAGCCTTGGCAGCATAGCAGTGCACCTCCACAGCCTGGGAAGACACAGTTGTGAGCATGGCCGTGATGGCATCTGCACTTATGGTAAATGAGTTAAATGAACTGCAGATAGTAATGCTGAAGCAAGCTTAATGATTTAAACTTTAAAGTTTTACATCCGGACTGTATGGAACATCAATTAAAACACTGAACATATTAGATAGATGTTGTCTTTCAATGGCAGTGTAGATTGATTAGTTCTTGCTTGACCATAGGACTATGATACGGTAGACTTAGTCGAAGTATGGTTAAACATTATGACTATTGCAAATCTGATACTGTTTTGACAAAAGAAATGCAAGGGAGGGATTGGAGACTGATGGACAGGTTGATAATAAGTAATTAATTAATATGAAGCTTAATTGTTGCACGACAGCAGTAGAGCTACATGCATGATTATTGATTGCGCGTACCTGCATAGGTGGACAAGAGAATAGAGGATAGGACCAGGAGAGCAACCAACACAGCAGCAGCCATCTAGTGCATGCTGCTGTCTTTAACACGCACGCTTCTGTCTTCTACACTACAGTCTTGTGCTACCAGATCTCTTTTCCCGTAGAGTCCATTGTTGTTGTCTTATTCTTTAGTAATTCTCTGTTCAGGTAATCAATCTTCGCTCGATCAAACCGCTGGATAGAGCTGCTATTAATGCATCTGTGAGGAAAACCAATAGATTGGTAACCGTAGAAGAAGGCTTCCCTCAACATGGGATTGGTGCTGAAATATGGTCGGTCTCTCCCTCCCTCCCTCCCTCCTTCCCAATGCATCTGTGCCTGCCATTCTCTTGATATTTTCTTGTTGCTGTGATGGCTTCACTGATCTCTCCTGATAAATGTTATTGTTTTATCCTTTTCCTGTGGCAGTGCACGAGCATCTTCTGCGTACCAGCGATGACTTTGTCTGGCAAGTTGATGCAATGTCGCATGGGCGTTTTACGATTGATGTTGAGTTTCTGGACCCGAGGATAGCCAATAACAATGCAAGTATCCAGCCTCGTCTTGTTTTTCTCAATTCACATCTCTTGCTAAATGCTTCCATGACCTGGGAGATTCCTGCAACATTTTGTTGGCTCCTTCCTGTGTGCAGAAACTTGAATGACTTGGCATATTCGTCATCATGAGCCCTTGTATTGGTATCAAGTCAGTTAGCTTCAAAACAGATACCAGACTTCAAATTTACATGCTGTGTGCAGTCTCATAGTTTAAATGAACAGCAAGCACAATAATTTGTACCGTGTATTGTCATGGAATATTTGTTATAATCTGGTATAAATAAATGTGTATTGTCATTGAGTTTCAGTACAATCGCAGAAGAAGATAAGTCATGATGGAGTTGTGCATGAAAAATATATGTTCTGGTCGAATTTGAATTGTAAATTTTTTTTTTGCGGAAAAATGATTTGTAAGGGCGGTTGGTACTGTAGCCGCCCCTACAAATCGATTTGTAGGGACGGCTGGTGTTCCCAGACCGCCCCTATAAATCGATTTGTAGGGGCGGCTACAGCACCAACCGCCCCTACAAATCAACGATTTGTAGCCACCCTTTCATAGGGGCGGCCGGCAAAACCACCCCTACCGAGCGTTACCAGCCGCCCCTAGAAACGTTTTTCTACGTAGTGAATACAACACTAAATTGTTGATGTTTTAACACATCTCGTGGCAGCTCAGACCTCGCAATCATGCCCGGAAGTACTCCACTTAACCGTACTCCACCTGATGTTCTAAGTTTTTTTGACGACCGCCTTTGTTAATTGATGATTTTCGGAGGCGATCGTCTTAGGACGTCCGTCTCTGTAAATGATTTTCAGAGACGAACATTTTCCTGGAGCCCCCTTAAGCATTTGCGGAGGCAGTCGCTAGGTGTGCCCGTCTCTGAAAATGATTTGACCTTGTATCCTAAAATCATTTTTTCTAGTAGTGCCAGTGCAATTTGCGTAGGTGCAAAATTCCACCCGCAAGGCGTTAGGTGCGACAAAATATTATGGGTGTTGCGCGAGCAGGTCACCTACAGTACACCCAACCTGTTGCCATCCCGTTAAGGGTGCATCTAGGATGCATGCGTGATGACACACAGACAAAGATCAAAGGGATGAGATGAGAGTTGGCAGTAGTGGAGGTTAATGTGTTGGTGTTTCAGAGTGGGAATGGGCATTTTAATGGGCCAAGGTGGTGTGCGAGGGTGGTTTGAGTGGGGGAGCGAGAGGAGAGGAAGAGCGGCCATGCAGGGCCACATGGAAGAGGGAGAGAAATTGAGTCAAAGATACAAATTTATAAATAGGAAGGACTTCATTATTTTTCAAGGTTTAAACAAAGGGATTTGAATGAATTTGGTTTGGGAACAAGGGGGGCTTTCAAGGAATAGTACAACATTAAGTTTAACCAACAGATCTGTTTCGGTTTTTTTGGTCAAAGATTCAAACAAGCAAGGCACACAAACACTCTTTTATGTTTGTTTCGGTTTTTCAAAAATATTTATGACGAAACATCTGGGATCCTTTTCTCGTATAAATAAAACTCTACTCATATAAAATTAATAAATTTGTTTAAATTAAAAAAGTAAAAAAAAATAGTGGTTTAGCACATGGCAAAACTCTGGTCCTACATCACTGATCTTAACGGCTACCACGGGCACGTCGTCCATGGGAACCAACCCTGAAAAACTACGACGTTTGTTAGTGCTGAATCACGACCTACCATGTCGTGATGGACCCAAACGGTGTCGACATCCCGATCAACAAATTTTCTATGCTTATTTGACCTGAAAAATAAATGGAGCCTCGGGGACAGGACATGATCGCACCAATCAAACAGTGTATCATGGACCGGATCGGAGATGATAGGACCAGAGATATTGCAGGACCTGATGGAGGACCTGATGGTTTATCGGCTTCTGGCGATTGTGCGTTGACCTGATAGAGGACCTGCGCATGCAGCAGTAAAGAGAGCGCTGGACTGAGTGATGGTACTGAGAAACACGAGGAACATGCACACGAGATATTGCAGGATTCGTAATGTTTGAACACGGCTCCGACTTCCTCCAGTCTACTGATAGAACTGCCGCGGGAGAGGGGAAACCGTGTCTCAACTCTCAAGGCAGTCCCAATAAAAAAAAATTACTATCCAAATAAATTATACTAGTTCACAATGCACAATGTCTAATTGTCAAAATAAACCCGGATCACCTTTCTCATCTCTCCTATAATCATCTTCCTCCCGACACTCTCTCATTATATTGCATCTTGGCATTTGGGACTTTTTAAGATAATGGAACGAAAGGTTCCGGCCCTTTTCCAGGAGGAGGCATCAGTCTATACTTATAACGATAAAAAAACGTCTTGCACACCCAGAAGTTTCAACTGAAGAATCGATCCGAAAAATAAAATGTCATCCATTTGAGGTGAAGAAATTATGCAGTGCCCTCCACTCTAATAGACGACCAGCTAAATCATAGCCTCCATTTGGCGCTCGGTGCACTGCAACCAAGTCGAAAACCGAAGCCATGTGTTGCCTTGAATAGGGCCTGCAAAAAAGATATTGAGGTTCCCTTCATTAAAAACCAAATCATTCATAGTGAGCCATATTTACCAACAAATGGCTGCAGTACCTATCAGAAATGGTGAGTTTTGTTTCTGGCCACCTTATTTTGACCAATTATTTATATCCCAATAAATTACTATATAATTTCTTGAAATTGGGTTATGACCAACTCCCTCCGTCCCAAAATAACTTATATTTTAGGTTTGTCCTAAGTCAAATAAATTCAAGTTTGACAAAATTTATAGAAAAAGTACTTCTGTCTATGACATAAAATAAGTATTATTAGATTATCACGAAATATAATCTTATATTATACTATTTGGTGTCATAAATATTGATACTCTTATAAATTTAGTCAAACTTAAAATAGTTTGACTTAAGACAAATTTAAAACAATTACTGTAGGACGGAGGGTGTACATAGTTTCTTGCGTGCCTTTTCGTTTCTCTCACCTCTTTTTAATGTTACTGTCAGATTACTAAATTGCTGGCGAAGGACATGTTTTTACTATTGTTTAGCACGAGACACTACTACAGTAAAGATTTGCAGGGGCGGCTAAAGAGGGTTTATAGGGATGGTTTGGCTAGCCGCCCCTACCAAACCATTGCTACAAATGGCCGGTTTGTAGGGGCGGTTCCCAAGCCACCCCTGCAAATACAATTGTAGGGGCGACTGACCAGCCGCCTCTACAAAAATGATTTGTAGGGGCGGTTGGTGTATAGTCGCCCCTATAACTCCCATTTGTATGGGTGATTAAATTTACAGCCGTCCCTACAGTGCTTTTCCTGCAAAAAAAAATCAAAATTTCAGTATCAAATTTGACCAGACCACACACACACACACACACACATATATATATATATATACACACACACACACAAGTCCACCAGACCATTATATATTTAGATCGACCAACAACATATTGCATATAATTCATCATTGCATCACATTCACAAGTTCACAAGTCCGATCACATTATATACACAAGTCCGATAACATTCAAAAGTCCGATCACATTCCATTCACAAGTCCAATCAATGGCCTAAGCCTAGTCTTTCCCACTCATGAAGATGTTGGTACTAAGGATTCCTACCTAAGTCGGACAATGGGTCATGGTAAGTGCCTCTGATGTGCACAATCTGGTCCATTATGAAGTTGCAAAGGTCGCCGACGAGGTCCAAGAGGTTGTCGTCTTTGTGTGGATCATTTCTCACACCTTTCTCATCTTGCCACTACAAGAAAACAAGATTAGGTTTAGTATTTCGTAACATATATGTGCGTTTTGTACCAAGTTTGTATACTACGGGTGAAGAGGATCAAACTTACCCTACAGGGGTGTCTCCTGTAGGTCGTGGTGTTACTTATGATACTGCATACGTAATATCCACAATGTACACCCCCGGGCTTCTGTTTGGGCACTGTGTGTTTCGCATATAAAAATGTTAAGTAATGCATTTGAAAGCAACGTAATGGAAGTACTAAAGTAAGTTTCACTTACCGCACATTTTGTTTTGACACACAGGTTTTCCTTCCTTTGTGGATCATGCCTCCCTTTATGCGTTTTAACGTAGAACCTATACACTTTGTTCGAATGAATTTAACAAATGCAACTTGTTAGTATCCAAAAGTGAATGCTAAGTATATATAGAAACATATAAGAGGATTGTCGATATGTATACGTCTTGAGAATCACTATGAAGTCTTTGTATGTGTTCTGGTCCTAATCTATTGAATCAAAGACCCACGCCATGCCCATCCCGACATCGACGCCTATAGCAATCCAGTGGTTGCTGCATGAATTTAATCATAGAAATTGATAAGCTCTTTTGCATCGAACAAAACAATATGTATTCTCAAAGCTTTAAGTAAACAGTTGAACTTACTCAAAGTTGTATGGCAGCCATATAGTGGTGTTGTGTTGGAGATGTTTCAAAGCTAGGG